TATCTCTATCAACCCTGTATACAGAGGGGATAAGATTGATACTTGATGTCTCACATCCATTTTGGTCTTATCTTTCTTTCCTATCTTTGAAATTACCTTTGCTTTCTTCTTATATGATGCTTTTGATATGTTCCTACAACTCCTCTGGTTTTCAGTTGTTAATGTTGAATGTACCAAATCTGTTCTTGAAATGGTCTCTAAATTCAGGTGATGTATGTTCAAGGTCATATTTTGATTATAGCAGACTTGTTTTAATTTTCCTCAGCTTCAGCCTGAACTTGCCTATGAGCAATTGATAATCTGAGCCACAGTTGGCCCCTGGCCTTGTTCTGACTGATGATATTGAGCTTCTCCATTATCTCTTCTCACAGATGTAGTCCATTTGATTCCTGTATAGTCCACCTAGTGAGTTATACCTGTTGAAAAAAAATATTTACAATGAATAAATCATTGATTTTGCAAAATTATATCATACAATCTCCAGCATCATTTCTGTCACCAATGCTATATTGTCTAACTAATCCTTCCTCTTTGTTTCCAACTTTTGCATTCCAGTCACCATAAATCATCAATGCATCTGATTATATGTTTGGTCTATTTCAGACTGAAGAACTTGGTAGAATTCTTCAGTTTCATCATCACTGGGTTTAGCGTTTGGTGCATATATTTGAATAACAGTGGTACTAACTTGTCTTCTTTGTAGGTATATGGATAGTATCCTATCACAGACAGCACTATCTTTAAGACAGACCTTGAAATGTGCTTTTTGATGATGCATGCAACATCATTCCTCAAGAGGTTAAGTGCTGGCCCTTAACTGAAAAATTGGTGGTTTGATCACATCCCAAGGCACCTTGGAAGAAAAGCCTGGTGATCTGTTTCTGTAAGATCACAATCTTTGCAAATCCCATGGAGCCCAGTTCTAATCTGACACACAGGGTGGCCATGAGTCAGAATAGATCTAGTGACAATTGATGATTTTTATTGCCAAGTGAGTTGTCTGTCATCCAGGGTCTAGACCCTCAGCTTATGTCCCTTCATGGTTTTCTCTTCTCTTGCAGTGACTTCTTTCCAAAATGGTATCACTTTTTTATCGAGTTCTTATAATTATTGGCCTCTGTGGGACAATCTACTGTGGGCTCCAGTCCAGCCTTCACAGCAGGGACTCTGCTTGTTCTATTTCCACAAAGAAGATCCTCACCTCCCAAGTATGTCCAAGCAGTGATGATTTCGCCTTCCGCCTGTACCGGAAGCTGGCTTTGCAGAACAAACTTCAAAACATCTTCTTCTCCCCTGTGAGTATCTTCACAGCACTGGCCATGCTATCCCTGGGGGCCGGCTCAGCCACAAAGACCCAGATTCTCCAGGGTTTGGGCTTCAGCCTCACCAAGACCCCAGAATCCAGCATCCACCAGGGCTTCCAACAGTTGGTCTGTTCCCTGAATGTCTCCAGCAAAGACCTGGAGTTGAAGATGGGGAATGTTCTCTTCATCAAAAAGGAGCTGAAGCCACAGACAAGTTTCTTGGACAATGTCCAGATGCTGTATGGGTCCAAAGTGTTTTCTATAGACTTCTCCAACCCCTCTGCTGCCCAGAAGAGTATCAACAACTACGTGGAAAAGGAAACCAGAGGGAAGATTGTGGACTTGATCCACCACCTTGATCCCCTAACAGTCATGGTCATGGTGAATCACATTTTCTTTAAAGGTATGGCTCTGAGATGTTGGCTTCAATTTCAATGTTCTGTAACTGTTCT